AATCAAAAACATTTGATCTGGCTGGTTTTCTGTAGAAAAGAGGTTTTTAAAAGGATCTGGATTTATCTGCTTGAGACAATGAATGAACACCAGCCTGACTGGTCAACCGACAGACCAGCAGACTAATAGAGCAACATTGCCATATCAAGAGCCTTGTGGTAAGAAAAGCAAAAAGGAGTATCTCAGGGGTCATGTGGATTTCTTATTGCCTCATTTTAAATGCCATTATAACAAATCTGCAGAAGAAATGAGGCTACAGTGAAGGTTGACTCCATTAGATTTTAAAGTCTGCTCCAGTTCCCGGAAATCATTTCTGTGAAGTGCTCCTGTCATAAGGACCTGTCACATAAATTTGAGTGGCAGCCATAAAGAGCTCCCATGACCCTGTTAAAATTAATTAGTCATTTTTGGCAATAAAACAAATACTGACACATTTGTCTGGAACAGTTTCAGAATGTGTGTATAATACCTTTTGTATTTTTATTTGACACATTTAAATTCAGGTAATTTACACTTTCAGTAGATTTTAAAACAAATCCATCCAAATCAAAGCATTTAAAACGTGCTTTAAATGTGAAAACGCAAAACAAGCCATCAACAGATTGAAACTCAAATGTGGTGAAACATGGTAAGCAATATGATAGATAGAGTTAGATAGAGGATAGAGTTATCAAAAGGAAGTTACATCTGTCTCTAGATGAGAAACAGTGTCTTTTTTGTCAGTCAAAATATGTAAAGTTTTAGAAAAATACCACATTATTTTTATGGGTCATATTTTGGTTATGGATTTTTTTTTATATAATTCAAACTGCATCAAAAACAATCAGGATAATGGTGTATCAATAAATGGCAGAATAATGATCATCCATGAAAGACATGGGTATAATCCCTCTTTACTGTTTTCTGCTCATTCCTCTGTTTTCACAGGATTTGTATTTTATACAAGAAACAAAAGGACAATGACTAAACGTGCAGAACAGAGAAAAGCTCTTTTTGATGTGTGCGCTGGCAGTATGTGTGTGTGTGTTCACACTTCATTCACCCCTTATGTGAACAGCTCAATCACAGAACAGAGATCAGGTTCAATTACACATGCAATAACTTTTTGGTCTCCATAGGCCCCAAAGCGATTTGTATGCTAATAAGTATGACAGCAGTAATGACTTACAATAAAGGTAACATCTGCCCCTGGATCTCATCTGATATTAGAACATTACAACAATCAGCCTTCGCTGTTTGTCTTCAAACTACTTGTTAACCTCTAGACTCCTTTTGGAAGTGTTTTTGCATCTGGGACTGGTGATGTAATAACCTTTCTCTCAACCTTTTCCTGTCTCTCTGAGGTGTGTGACAGTGTTGCATTTTGGTTTCAGCTGCATGCTCCTGGGGTAATTGAAAGAAGACACATTCTTCCATGGAGTCAGTTTCAGTCAGTGTGAGCGTAAGTCACATGATTACCTGAGAGGTGTTTGATACATGAACATTAGATAGTGGAGTACCTGTGTTATTAAACCAGACAGAGGAAATGCTTTTCCCTAGGACCTTAAGGACAGCAGCAGAGGAGAGGTCAGGCCAACTTGATGGGTGGACAGTTATGGCGAAAAGTGCAAGAAATGGTGGTTGGACAAATAATAAATCAACGACCTCTTGGTAAAATGTGTTTTTGCAATGTTTAACTCAACAAAGCGGCGTGGCATGAGGACACTACTCAGTCTGTAACATCCTGATAACTGTCATGAATTTTAATACATTTTTGCTCCCCAGAGGAAGTCCCATATGTTTTTTTCTTTTATAGTGTCACCTTGGAAATGGATTTGGGGGGCAAAGCTGAAGAGCTGAAGAAGACAAGTAGAGGGCAAGAAAAAAAGACTCATTTGTCTACAGAGGTTGCTAAAATTGATTAAAAAAGAAAAGAAAAGAAATTTCCTTACAGGCGCTTTAAGAAATGCTGGTGTGCATACACAAGTGTTTCACTATGTTTCCTTGACCTTTTAGCGCTGACACTACAAGTGTGATCTGTAGTGTTTGCATTCTATAAGAGAAAAACAAAAAAGATTTAAATAGATGGACTCAGAATTTAAGGCGAAGCAAAATATCACTTTTTCTCATGTGACCGGTTGATGTAAATCTCTACCGCGCAGAGTATATTAGATTTAACTGAATGTATCTTGATCTTATTGAGTTGAGTGTCATATAATATAAGGCTCAGCAATCTGAGCTCATGTATTTATGCATCTTTGCTTGATAAGTATTCATGACATTGCTCAACATAAAAGGGCTTAATTAAATCCATATAAGTATATCAAAAGAAAGACAAAGCTAATTACATAAACGTTATTAAATAACAGCTATACACGGCAGCTAATTTCAGCTGTAATTCAATTTGATACATGTCTCTAATATATTCGCTGACAGTCGAGCAGAGAGACTGGTGCAGAACGCGTTTCCTGTTTCACTCCAATGAGAGGAGCCTGCTGTGTGCTGCTCTCACTTCAAGGGCCTGAGAGAGATCAATGAGGAAGAATAGCAGTGGGACTGGACTACAAATTGAGCAGCCTTTAATCACCTCACACAGTTCACAGCGGTGTGAAAGTTCCCGCCATGAAAAGGTTTAATCACTGGCCAAGCTGAATAGAGTCAAGTTGCTGCTAATAAAGGGCACACAGGGCCTCGGGGTACACATGCACATGTGTGTGTTTGCTGACGCACTTTGGTACACACACATGAAAAGTCCTGACATTTGTGCATTCAGAACATCGTTTGCACACATGAATTTACAGGATGAAAAACACACCCATTTTCAGCTGCTGAATACTGATAATAACCACCAGTTTATAAATCTCTGAGTCACTCTGTCTTGAAAATGGTACCTTAAGTCATTTATTTTGTTAACTCGTTAGCACATAAAGTAGCTCACGGAGAAAGAGGCAATCATCATTTGTCAGCCAATTCAAGGGTTTCACTGACAAATGGTAATTACCTGACCCAACAGTCAATGGCCGCCGGGCTACTCGGGGAAAGACGACTGAAATTCGTCAAGGCTCTTAATGGGCAGAAACATGAGGGTCATTTAGTTGTTCTTCAGTCGATAGCTAAATGAATATATAATATGTGTTGTGAATAATACTCTTTGGGATAAGATTGTGCCATGCCAGTGTGAGTATAGTGGCCTTTACGAGCATATGCATTTGATTTATTACAAACAATCTAGTTCTTCAAAATAAAAGCAATTCTCAGACGAGATCCTACAAGGAACAATCTCGATAACAAGAAGGGAAAGCCCTGAAGGCGCCAGAAGGTTAATAAAGACAGTGTGGAGTAAGAGACCTCATTAGTGAAAACCTTTCATGATGCTTCCCAGTAAGCCCATACAGCTGACCCAGGTGCTGCAGAGAATGTGACCTTGGTGTGATGGTAAACGGGTAATAAATCCAGTGGCCGCAGGGACACAGTGTGTAGTTTGTAGACAGCCGGGTCAATGAGGAGGCGAGCTATGAATCTTAATTGCACCTGTCTGTCTTTTTTCCTTGTCCTCTCTATAAAATGCATTGAAATGATGGTGCTCTTGTGGCCTGGCGAGATAAGAGGCATGTTACCCATGACGTTAAACAGAGCTCACCTTGCCATATGTTTCCCCCCAGCTGTGTCCCAGTCGCCTGTCAATCAAAACTGTAAAGACTACAGTAAAAAGCTGAGACGCTTTTGCATATCAAAGTAAAGTGTATTTAAAATAATGATGCAAGGTATATCAAAAGTTTGACAATACTTTTAATAATGAATAATAATAATAGACAATCTGCTGTGGTGCAGGCATAGAGCTCAACTTGGGCTGTGTCCGAAATGGATCCCTAACCCCTATATAGGTGACTATATGAGGGTTAGCACCATTTTGAGGGGTGTCCAAAACCTGAGTGATCAATTCCAATGCCCCATATAGGTGACTCAAAATTTCCCATAGAGCATTGCAAAATGTAGTGACCATCCGATGGACACTACCAGTGGTGGGCATCCTGTCATGCATTGCGTCTTGCCATGTAGTGTCCGAAACCTCCAGTTATTGAGTTCACTACATAGTTAACTATATAGTAAAATCCCATATGGGGGTTGGGGGTTAGGGCTTGAGTGATTCATTTCGGACACAGCCGACACACGATGATAACTCTCCCTGCCCTACAGAGGGGTCATAGGTCAGACAAAATGCTGTCTCCATATGTTCAGCTTGGGCTCACACTGTTTAAAGGAAGTGCCTGCCAGTGTGTTGGACTTATTGGCAATAAAAGTCCAATCCAATCAGAATTTGAGGAAAACATGAAAGATTATGCTCATTCATCCATGTTGACCACATGGTCATGCAGGTTGTTGCTTTCCTTAGCTGTAAAGACACAGTGGGGGTATCCATAACCTGAAAGCAAGGTTCATTAATAGTCCAGCCTCACTGATTTTTGTTGGATAAGTTATATATGGGTGAGTAGGAATGTTTTATTTTCCTCTGAAATAAATGGATTCTCTCAGAACCCCCAGCTGAGGATATTAAGGAGTTTTGCCTACAGGGTGAATGATCGGCTATTCTATTTTTTCCTCTGGGTTAATTATTGAGATTTCTCACAGTAGGTTTGTTCAATTTCACTTCAGGCATATTCGCACTACTCCAACCCCGCAAATTACTTCATCCCCGTGGAGCAAGAAATCTGCTCACAGTGAAGCGACGGCGAAGCAGACAGCAGCAACAAACAGTGGATCTCTGTCGCCATCTAGAGAAACATGGGCTCAATTTGAGGACCTTGGTGCACCAGGGAAGGCAGACTTTATTCACTGAATGTGTCCAGAATAATAAAAATATATATATGATTTATGTAGCAGCGTGTATCTTCGCTGCAAGTCATTTTAAACAAACATCGTTCCTTAGTCTGGCGGCGTTTTTTCTTTGGACGATAACCACATTGTCGTTACCGCTCCTCTCCGGCGCTCGGGGTGAACAGAATCAAACGCACCCAGCAGCAGAGTCATGTGATTGGTCATGAGGAAGTAAACAGGGAAGAAGAGAAGTCAAGGGAGAAGGCGAGTATTCTTCTGCATCTCTTGAATTGAATAATCCCTGAAATTAAAATAATTTAGCCATTTGAGTGAGATTTGAAATGGTAAGTTTGAAACAACGTGTTTGTGTGTGTTGTCCTCTGCAGCATCATGGCTTTGGAGAGCAGCAAACAGGCTCCGTGCTAACATTTGACAGAGATTAGGGATCGCATGACCAGGTAATACACTTTCAAAAGCTTTATGAGACAAAATAAATACGATTCTACTGAATTACACACAAATGTTTTTCTATTTTTTGTGTGAATTTTAGACAAACAAAAGGTTTGTTAAGGCATACTGCTCTGACATTTCGTTGCTCTTTGAGGAAATGCCAAGAAATGAAGTAAAACGTGCAAAACTTTCAAAATCACAGAGTATCATATGTTTGTCAAATGCATGTAATGACAGTGTAATAAGCTACGTCGAAAACCATTTTGAGAATCACAACTATGAAAGGTCTCAAAACCTTAAATGTTGTCTCTCTCTGTCTGACTTTTTTTTTTTCAGCTGGACTATCTCAAAGGTCAGTCTGCTGCACAAACACAGGGTCAGGCTGTGGCCGCTTGTTGCACATTCCTCCACCACCTCGTCCTCCTGCAGCCATGGTGGACTTCTTGGCTGAGAACAACCTGTGTGGACAGGCCATCCTCAGGATAGTTTCTCGAGGAAACGCCATCATTGCTGAGCTCTTGCGCCTCTCAGACTTCATCCCTGCAGTTTTCAGGCTCAGAGACAAAAGCGACCAGCAGAAATATGGAGACATCATCTGTGACTTTAGCTACTTTAAGGTGAGGACTCCATCAGATCAGATTAGAACAGTTGTGGCCACAATTCAACACATTTTTGAAGGAGATACAAACATTTAATGACTTGAGGGAACTACAGCTACATGTTTCATACTGTTTAATCCAAAGTACTAGCAAAGGAATGTAGTTTAGTGCCATTTTTTATAACTGTACCAGCATTGGCTTTAAAGATTTTTTCTGTTTGATACGTCCATCCATCCATCCATTTTCTACCGCTTATTTCCGTTCCTGGGGTCACGGGGGGGCTGGAGCCTATCCCAGCATCTTCGGGCGAAGGCAGGGGACACCCTGGACAAGTCGCCAGTTCATCACGGGGCTGACATATAGACATGAACAACCATCCATGCTCACATTCACACCTTTGAGCAATTTGAAAGTGGCCAATTAACCTAACCCCACTTAGGCATGTTTTTGGGATGTGGGAGGAAACTGGAGTACCCGGAGTAAACACACGCAGACACAGGGAGAACATGCAAACTACATACAGAAATGCTCTGACCCGAATTCGAACCCAGGACCTTCTTGCTGTGAGGCGACAGTGCTAACCACTACACCACTGTGCTGCCCTGTTTGATACATAAACTTACAAAGAAAGATTTTCTTATTAATTGAGTACCTGTTTATCGTGGTCTCTTCATTCAAAGCTGTTTTTATGTGTTTGTGAAGATATGGGTATTTATTGAAAAAGCTTTTCTACAGGGTCCTGAGTATTACGAGGCAAAACTGGAGACCAAACCTGAGCTTCAAGACCTGGATGAAGAGTTTAGAGAAAACAACATAGAGATTCTGTCCAGGTTCTATCTGGCTTTTGAGAGTGTGCACAAATACATAGTGGATCTGAACAGGTAAGAAAAGGCTTGGTGAGTTTTTTCAGTGTAAAAGTCCCTCAGGGTACAAAGGATGCCTCAGGATTCAGGACATTGAACATGAGAAATGTAAAAATATCTGTGACCTTGAGCCATAAAACTTCCTTGTTGTCCAATTTAAATTACTATTAGTTCATTATTAAGGACTACTTTGAGATGTTGTTTAATACATTTGTTTTTCTCCTGCAGATATTTGGATGACCTACATGAGGGTGTTTATATTCAGCAGACCCTGGAGACTGTGCTGCTAAATGAGGATGGAAAACAGCTTTTGGTAAGTGACACAAATGCAAATCAGGTTTAATTTTGTAACAACAATGGATACAAGCTATCCTGAAATCTTATAAATAACTGTTTGCGATGAATTCACGACAGAACAAGTTCTTACATTTAATGATCTGGGGCTCTATTTTCGTGCCCGCTGGCGGCGTGGCGGAGGGTGGCGCACCCGCAGTTGTATTTTCATCTGGCGGAGCCCGGTGCACAGCCAGTTTGGTATTTTCGCAGACTGAGGCGCACCGAGGTCCGCCAAGCTGGGTGTGGTGGCGCAGCAGGGGGAGGTGTCGACAGAATCAGCTGGCACAGTGACATTTTCATGCTTGCCGGCGGCGTCACCAGTGAGGCTCAAAAATGGAGCCCATAGTCTTTTTTTAATTGATTGGTTTGTTTTGAGATTGATCTTTGAGCTACCTCTTTAAAACGACAAGTTAAAACTAACTGCATAGGAAGTGCTAAAGTCCTTTCCATTGTCTCCCAGTGTGAAGCTCTTTATCTCTATGGAGTCATGTTACTGGTCATTGATCATAAAATTGAAGGAGAGGTCAGAGAAAGGATGCTGGTTTCCTACTATAGATACAGGTGAGTTCTCATGCACATACCCACAAAACACTGTTCAAAACACTCAAGTCAAGTCTTTTTACTTGATATATTTGCTAAGAATATTGAGAAAACACTTTTTTCTGCCCGTCTCTCAGCTGTTACATTGCCCCTCTGTATATGTATACTATATATGCCTGAAAGGTGAATTGATGTGGGTGTATTTTGTCTTCAGTTCACTTATTGCCTCTTCTTTTCTCCAGTGCTGCTCGTACCTCTGCAGACTCCAACCTGGATGACATTTGCAAACTCCTGCGCAGCACTGGTTACTCCAGTCAGCCTGGAGCCAAAAGACCAGCGAACTATCCAGAGAGCTACTTCAACAGAGTTCCCATCAGCACAACTTTTATTAGCATGGTCATAGGGAGGCTGCGCTCAGATGACATATACAACCAAGTAAGAGACTAGGCTCAAACATTGTTCAGAGTTTTTCTTAATCCAAAAGACACATTTAGTGTCTCCTGATCAGAGTTGAGTTTGCTTATGTCACTGATTTAATGTGAATGTTACATTTTTAGTGGGTATCGCTTATATCAGATATCAAAGGTTGTATTGAAGAATGCATTTCTCCCTCTGCCCATCAGGTGTCTGCATATCCTCTACCAGAGCATCGTAGCACAGCTCTAGCTAACCAGGCAGCCATGCTGTATGTTTGTCTCTACTTTAGCCCCTCTATACTGCAAACTCAGCAGGCAAAGATGAGGGAGATTGTGGACAAGTACTTTCCCGACAACTGGGTGAGACACTTTTTGGTGGAGACACTCTTCACTTGGTGTCCTGCAGGCTTAATCTCCCCCAACTGTGATATGTTGGTTGAAAATAAGTGAATCTCAGCTATTTTGTGAGATTTAATTGCATGCATTGCGTCAAGTTTTTATATTCTGTAACTTGCTTCAACTTATTTCTTTTGCTATGAATGCCATCCTGAATGTTTGTGTTTTTTGCTTGCAGGTTATCAGTATCTACATGGGGATCACAGTGAACCTGGTGGAGGCCTGGGAACCCTACAAAGCTGCGAAAACTGCTCTGAACTACACCCTGGACTCTGCAAACATCAGAGAGCAGGTAAGGAAAGTTTTGAATTGGCGTCAATGTCACACAGCCTTTAGCTCTGTCGATTTAGAGTCTGTCAGTGTGGCCCTCTGTTGCATGCAGGTGCGGATAACTGTGTCTGCAGAATTTGTAAGTCGTCCAGTCTGACTGCGCAGAATCTAAATTCACACACCAGGGGATTCATCAAAGGGGGACTTTAGAAAGACCTTTACAAACTCCTCTTGAAAAGTTAAGCGAGAAATTGGAGTTTATGGATGAACAATAAAGGTTGTTGAAGTCTTTGAGAACAGTGCACTGATAACAGGGGGAGTCCTTATTTAACATGTATATTGCTGACTTTGCTATTCTACCCTGTGGTTACTAGTAAGAATGAATAAATTAATAATTCATTGTTCAAGATGGGAAACTTTTTACCACATTTCAGAACTGACAGTGTCCCATCACTGTGTGTTTAGGCTACTCGGTATGCAGCCAGCATGGAGAGCCTGAGGCCTCAGGTGCAGCAGCTGCTCAAGGAAGGTTTCCTCAGAGAGGAGATCATCCTGGATAATATTCCCAAACTACTTAACTACCTTAGAGACTGCAATGTTGCTATCCGGTGGCTGATGCTGCACTCTGCAGAGTCAGGTAGGAACATCAGACAGATCTTTCCGGTAAAACTGTGTTATCTTGGGAAAAATCTATAATTTCTCTTTCGTATGTGACATGATTCATACGAAGCCTCCTTAAATAGGGAAGAAAAATCTCTTTTTATTTATCACACGAGCTTGAAAGGAGCTTGAAGTAACTTTAGTTGTTAACTATTTTACATTTTCTTTATCATCCAGCCTATGATCCAAACAACAAGCGACTGCGTCAGATCAAAGACCAGGTTCTCACTGACTCCAAGTACAAGGCCAAGATCCTCTTCCAGCTCCTGCTCGACACTGCACAGTTTGAGTTCACGCTCAAAGAGGTGAGAGTCTCCTACAGTAAAAGTGAGTAAAGGTTTGATATTAATGCAGGAGCAATTCCAGAGTGCTGATTCAGCTTACCGCATCGATCACAAGCTGTGTCCACTCTGTTGTCTATTAGCATACAGTGAGACGGCATATGGCCGGTCTATCACCAGCAGAGGACACAAATTTAATGTTCTCATTACGTATCTCGTCTGACTAATCCTCGCTCATTGATTAAGCATCTGTGCTGTCCCTCCTCCAGATGTTCAAGCAGATGCTCTCAGAGAAGCAGATCAAATGGGAGAGCTATAAGAAAGAGGGATCAGAGAGGATGACCGAGCTGGCTGAAGTCTTTTCCGGCGTCAAACCTCTCACCAGGGTGGAGAAAAATGGTGAGTTATGCTGTTTTGGTGGTTAAGGTGAAGGATTACATGCATGGCAATGTAGTGGCAGTGAATACAGAAGCCTCTGCTCTGCAGCATTTCATGCTTTGAATGTCATGGATTATTTCAGTGTTGGAACAAAAACGGCTTAAATGAGTTGAAGCTGGAAGCTGTTTGGAGAGAAATGGCGAGGCAGGGAGACAAAATGTGAAAAAAGCATCAAGGACACACATGCAGGGAGAGGCGGATTAAATTTACATCAGTCATACTTACTTCTGTCACTGCGACTTAAGCTCTCTTGTACAAAGACCCATTTTTCTAAACCACCACTTGTCGAAACTACTTTGATAACATTTTCTCTCCTCTTGTACCACACACCTTTTTTTACTCCTCACAGAGAATTTACAGGCCTGGTTCAGAGAAATCTCAAAACAGATTGAGTCTTTGAACTATGAGGACTCCACGGCGGCTGGGAGGAAGACAGTCCAGCTCATCCAGGCTCTTGTTGAGGTGAGCAGGACAATCATGTTTATTAAAGTTTTGCATTAAAATGAGGGTGTGGTGAAATGTTTCCGGGGCCTTTTGACCTTGAAATTTGACTGTAATAAAATGGTGTGTTCAAATCATTCAGTCTCTTGACTACAGTTCAAGAGGTTTGCCTTGAGTATCCTACATTTACACAGATTTCCAGATGATGACTGAATCCAGTAACAGTGTTTGCAAACAGAAGCAAAACAAAGCAAAAATTTAGTACTTTGAATTGCTTTGATTATAGACACATCAGAATACATAATAGAAATGTCCTGCTGGCTCAGTGGATTGTAATGGCCTCATTTTCTCCCGTCTATCTTGACAGTCTGCTGAAAAATAAGAGATGAAACAAACATGATTCTCAGTGAAATTGTAAAAGTGGGTTATGTTTATTTGTAGAGCCCCTGATAAATGCTTCCAAAATTAACCAGTCTATTAGTAAAGTTTTCTGCAGCCAGCATCAAATTACTCTCATGAGTTAGCAGCTGTACACATGCCAGATGGAGGATTGTTTCTGTAATCAGCCAGTCAGTCGATCTACTATCATGATTACAGATGTGAAATTCTATTCATGTTTGTTTCCTGTGCTGCTCAGCGTGGCTGTAAAAAAAAAACTGTTTTCTCTTGGTGTACAGGTCCAGGAGTTCCACCAGCTGGAGTCGAACCTGCAGGTGTGTCAGTTCCTGGCTGACACCAGGAAGTTCCTGCACCAAATGATCCGCACTATTAATATCAAAGAAGAAGTCCTGATCACGATGCAGATCATTGGGGACCTGTCCTACGCATGGCAGATAATTGATAGGTACTTATTGGGGTAACACTTTATATGCAGCCACCTCTTATAATGCATCATAAGCACATTTATGAAGACGTATAAATACATCTATACAGGTTTATAATAACCCTGAGTGTTAACCAAACCTAGAATACAAAAGACGCTGATAGATAGATAGATAGATAGATGGATGGATGGGAAATTGTCTTCTTACAGCATCAAAGGGAAAATACAAATAACATTAAATATAACAACAGGTAAGTAAGATTGTGCTTTAGCATCAAGGCATAATGTTTATTAAGCCATACCTCTACCAGACAGTATGATCACGATGGTTTTTGGTAAACATTAAAGCTCCTGATAGGATTTTTTTGTCAGATGACACTACTGAAGCAAGTAGAAGACAACATAAGTAAAGACTTTTTTGTCCACCGGGGGTGCCAAAGTTGATGCAAACAGAAAGGTCCTTATAGGAGCTTCAAAGCCATATAAAATCCAGATTAAAAAGAGGACTGTAAAGCAGTTGTAGGTAAAACTGACATGAATCTTTGATATAAGAAGGGTTACACACATTTCATAAACACCACACTGGGGATTTTTTCCTCACTCAACTGTAGTAAATATCGTGATAACTCCTCAGTAGTCGATAGATTTGACGTGTTATGAGTTTAGTCTTCCAACGACGGTGAGACAGTCTGCTCAGGTTTATATGAATGATCAAGAGGACATCAGTGCTGCTGCTGTTGTGACTTCTCTCTTCAATTTTTTATCTCTCAATGGCAGATTTACCCTTTTATTTACTGGCTTACTTTTTACTCTGCAGCTTCACATCCATTATGCAGGAGAGCATCAGAGTCAACCCGTCAATGGTTACTAAACTGAGAGCTACATTTCTAAAGGTGAGAATGCTCATTCCTGTCTTACATGCACACTTACACAGAGACTGAAAACAACAAATAGTTTCCGTACATTGTCTTTGTGTCAGAGGTTTGTTTCCTGAAATGTTTAGTTTATTTTGATCACGTGTTTGCAGCTGGCATCTGCTTTGGACCTTCCTTTGCTGCGGATCAATCAGGCCAACAGCGCTGATCTGCTGAGCGTGTCACAGTTCTACTCTGGGGAGCTGGTGGCGTATGTCAGGAAGGTACAGTGTATCAAAGTCACCTTTCCACCCATCATCTGTGTATCTAAGTGGCTGAAGAAGACACATTCTTAGATGTTTATTGTAAAACCTACAAATGATCATGGTTTTAAAGTGGTTTTACAACTTTAAGAAATGAGTTCTGCATGCTGTAAATTATTGTTGGATAAGTGCAGCAACAGCTGTGGTCGTGATTAATGTCTCTGCAACCATCTGTTCAGAAAATTTCCCCAGAAAACAGCTACTTAGTGGACGTGTACCTTAAGATCTTATTACCTTCTGGTTTCATCAGCTACTTGCTGCGTTACTTCATGCCAGAGGATTTGCTTCTCGTAGTCGTACACATGCTTCCCCCTCACAGCATCATGTACCATCTGCTTCTGACGACTAATCTCAAATCTCTGGTCTTTACAAGAACCCTAAAACATAACGTAGATTCATGTTAGAGCTCAGTTTTGGTGATATTCTCTTATTTTCAGGTGCTGCAGATCATCCCTGAAAGCATGTTCACCTCCCTGGCCAAGATCATCAAGCTGCAGATCCACGATATCATGGAGGTGCCCACACGGCTCGACAAGGACAAGCTGAAGGACTACTCTCAACTTGGAGCTCGCTATGAAGTAAAGCAACTGCCGTGGTCGGAAAAGCTGTCATGACAAAATGCATTTAGCTGGAATGTGTTCAGAGTGTCACTGAAGTAATGAAAAAATTCCTCAGGTATCGAATGAAATTAAAAGCAGAAACAGAAGCCCTGTGTTTACACCTTGTGATCAGAGGCAACCGCACAAGCAGGCATCTCTGAACATTTTTCAATCTTGCAACTTTTGATGTGTTGCACAAATGAGAAAAGAAAGATCAATGTGGAAACAGATGGTACCAGCAGAGACTTAGTTGAATTAAATTAATTAGAAGTTGTCAGGCTGGTATTGAAAAAGCATACTCTGAAATGAAGTCTGTTGCATTCAATTTAAATATGAATGAGTTCAGCTATTGATTTGATTTTCAGTTTTACTTAAAAACAAAACAAAGTGGCAAATGTTAAAAATATGTCTGCTGAAATCTATTTATCTTGATACACAGTGATGTCTCAGCACTCTCAGCTTCCTCTAACACCTGCATGTTTCCTTGTTACCGTTTGTCCGTGGTAAACAGTATCTGTCACTGACGCGCCCTAACAATTCTTCTTCTTTATGTGGTTACAGGTTGCCAAACTCCCCCACGACATCTCCATTTTCACTGAGGGGATCCTGATGATGAAGACCACTCTAGTTGGAATCATAAAAGTAAACAGTGTTGTATATATGATTGTGAACTTTCAGAGTTTTTAAAACAGCCATAGTGCAGTTAGCAGATTTGACTTTACTGACACTTACGTGGTCTTTAGGTGGATCCCAAGCAGCTTCTGGAGGACGGCATCAGGAAAGAACTGGTCAAGAGGGTGGCCTATGCTCTGCACAAAGGACTGATCTTCAACCCCAAGGCTAAGGTCAGATATCAGACGTGCCGTATACTGATCACCGCATGTCTTTATTTTTATATTTCAGAGTGCATTATCAGCCAACAAAATTTTCCACAGGATAACTCTATAATCACAGGGTTTGTCCACCATATCTCTCATCATATCTCGTCTAATAAATATCTTGTAAATAAAGTTGATTGATTGATTGATCTCATGTCTAATTCTTTAAAAAAAAATTTATTGTCAAAGTCCTCCAGCTGTAAAACTTGATACATGACAAGCTGAGACTTAAGAATCTTCTACACTCTTAGCCCAGTGAGCTGATGCCGAAGCTAAAAGAGATGGCAGCCACCATGGACGGCTTCTACAGGTCATTTGAGTACATCCAGGACTACGTCAGCATTTACGGCCTTAAAATCTGGCAGGAGGAAGTGTCGCGCATTATCAACTACAACGTAGAACAGGAGTGTAACAGCTTCCTCAGGGCCAAGGTCAGGATCAACACTGCAACATGTGTCTCACTGTTTCGGATCACTTTGAAGCTTTTTACAACTCTGTCAGAAAATACAACCAACTACAGGATACTAATTGACTTTACTTCTTTTAAAATCAGATCCAGGACTGGCAGAGTGTGCACCAGTCCACCCACATCCCCATTCCAAAGTTTCCATCTGTGGATGAATCTGCCACTTTCATTGGTCGTCTGTGCAGAGAGATTCTAAGAATCACTGATCCAAAGTATGTTTCATAGAGGGTAGATGAAATAGAGGACTTACCTCATCAGAGGAAAGATCTTAGAGATCTCATGATATCTTGCAGTTTTTAGAGGCTCTCTGACAGACAGTGGTTCTCTCTCTCTTTAGGATTACATGTTACTTCGATCAGATGAACACCTGGTACGACTTGAAGAGCCACCAAGAAGTCACAAACAACCGACTGTTCTCTGAGATCCAGAACACTCTGGGTACATTTGGCCTCAATGGACTGGACCGCCTGCTCTGCTTCATGATTGTTAAGGAACTCCAGGTAATAACCATACATTACAAGTTCACAGGAATGGCTGTTTGTAGGTCTTTGAGGGCTTTTAGGGTATTTGAAGCACACATGATATGCACACTTGAATGTATTTACACTCTGTGCGACCTGTTTCTCTCTTCAGAACTTTCTGACAATGCTTCAGAAGACCATCCTGAAAGACAGAACTGTGGTGGATGTTTTTAAAGCCATGCTGATGGCTGCCAATCCAGTGCAGGGCATTGTGGGTGGGTATTTTGATCATTTTCTTGGTATCCTGATGCCTTTCTTGTTGCTTAAGCTTTTAAAGCCAGTCTGTTTAATTTTGCTGCACATTACAATTCAGATTTTTTAAAAGTGCCCTGTGAATAAATTTATTCATCAGAACATCTCAGAACCAACCTCTGTCTTTTTATTTTTCTATTCCTTGAGAAGAATGCATTTGTTTTTTCTGCAACAGGCAATGCCAGCAAAGTGTATGCCAGTGCTGTCGCTAAAACACAGAAGATCTGGAGTTCGTATCTGGAGGCCATCATGAAAGTAAGAGTCTCTGATGCTGTAAAAGGCACGAATAATTATAAACATTTACTGATGTGTCTGTGTACTTTGTATTCTTGGAATAGGAGCTCAAATTGTGTTTGCATACTTTAATCCGTCTCTAAATTTGCTCCTCCCTGTCTTGTGTCTTTTCAAACAGCATTCCCATGCCAACCATCTGTTAAAGATAACAAAGACTTGATGCTATAAAGACAATTTTGAATTAATGTGTTTGCTTTAGGTTGGTCAGATGCAGATTCTGAGACAGCAGATTGCAAATGAGCTGAACTACTCCTGCAAGTTTGACTCCAAACATCTTGCTGCTGCCCTTGAGAACCTGAACAAGTCAGTGCAGCATCACCAGCTCAGAACATACATAACAAATATGACTATGTTGCTTTGTTTGTTTCAGTACCTTAAAAGGAATGTACTCAGTCTGTACATGTTGTTCTAAAACATTGTTCATTATTGCTTTTGGACTCAGAATGCATGTAAAGAATGTAAGACTGTTTTATAGTTGAACGATAACAATTTCTTATGCAAGGTGGAGATTTTAAGTGTATTACGGAGTTTAATGGTGCAGCCTTTGGTGTCTGTTTAAGAAGGGCGCGTCTATAAAGAAATTAAAGCGTGAGAAAAACTTTTTACCCCAATTCAAAATGATCTTGCCATCTCTTTACAGGTCACTGCTGGCAGATATTGAGGCTCACTACCAGGACCCATCCCTTCCCTACCCTAAGGAGGACAACACTCTTCTGTATGACATCACTGCCCACTTGGAGGCTGCTGGCATTCACAACCCACTCAACAAGGTCTGGAGATGTACAGTGCTTTCTTCTGCTTCCAAGAAAAAACTGGATTTTAATTATTAGTAATGATTTCACTTCTGTCTAATATCTCGTTTGTGCTGTTGTAGATTGCAGGATGAAGTGACCCCTTTTCTTTATGTCTTTCACAGATCTACATCACAACAAAGCGGCTACCTTACTTCCCCATCATAAACTTCCTTTTTATTACCGCTCAGCTGCCTAAACTTCAGTACAGCAAAAACCAAGGCAAGTCTTTTGAGCTACTATAGAATATCTCCACTGCTCTTGTCAATGCAGTGATAATTGTGTTAAACACATTAAGGAGGTTGTTTTCTGTGTAATACAGCATACTTGGATGATTGCTGATTTTAGTGTGTTTTAAATCAAGGTTGCTCTGTTAAAACATCACATCATCACAAACATTTTTTTGCTTTAGTAATTGAACGTATAATTGAACCTCCCAGACCTAATTTTAAGCCAATCATGAACTTGCTTTTAGAATTGGGTAAGCTTCATATCATTTCTAGTATTAAAGGCACATTATTTTAAGAAGTGTTGGAAACTGCCTTGATCACGAGGGTTTAAAGCACATTCAGCACCCCATGTTTTTGGTATAAAGGAGTTGTTTGTATCTAATAGATTTTTTTTCAGTGTGTATATAACATCCTGTATGTGTGAAGCCTCTTCCACTCATAAATGACAATGTTTTTCCAGGAATGACGTGCAGGAAAACCACAGATCCTGTCGACTGGCCTCCACTCGTCCTAGGCCTGCTCACCCTGCTCAAGCAGTTCCACTCCAGATACACACAGCAGTTCTTGGCTCTGATTGGTCAGTTTATACGCTCCATCATGGAGCAGTGCACAAGGTAACAGCACCTGTAAAATCTCTGCTACTTTATAAATAACTGGAAGAATCATGTATTCAAGTATGTCTCTCTCTTTCTAGTCCTTGAATACATTGTCTTTCTGACTGCTTCACTGCTATTTTTTAATTTGTCCTGTCATAACTTGATGAACTCATGGTTGAGTCTCTTTGTGATCCCATCTCAGTCAGAAGATCCCTGACATGCCCTCAGATGTGGTGGGGGCTCTGATGTTCCTCGAAGACTATGTGAAGTACACAAAACTTTCACGCAAGGTAGTTAATCGATTGACCATTTGACTTTGTCTGTCTGAATGAAATGAAATAATAGATCTTCCACTCATTTATATACATATGGTGTTTTGTATTTTTTACTTTCTGTACTCTGAGACACTAATGTGCATTTTCCTTATTTGTTGTGCTCTTCAGGTGGTGGAAGCCCATGTGCCCAGTTTCATATTTGATGAGTTCAGAACCGTACTGTGAGGATCTGACTGAAGGGTTTCATCTGGAAATGATGCTTTGCTGCCATAATGTTTTTTTTTTTGTTTTTTTTAACAAAAGACATTTCAAATTAAGAAATAGTAGTAAACACCATTTACTAACGTAATCAATCATTAACATGATTAGTGCTGCAACAGTTGCTGTCTTCTATTCAAGAGTCCCAGAAGGTCATAACAGTGTAAGTGACTCTGAAAGCATAAACCACAACACTGAAAGTGGAGCAGCCAAATGGAGTTTACCTTACGTGGAGTTTATGACTTACATCACCCATGTCTGTCTTGTTAGATGGTCTGTTGAAATGTTTACTAAAGCCTACTCATTTCATTGACTGATATTGTCTTAATGCACTAACAATAGATTGAATGTAGAAACAAAATTGAATTGTTCAATACCACTTGCCAATTTTTTAACATTATAACTTTGTGCCATTTCCAAATAAAAATCATTCATAAGAGTTTTTGTGTCTTTTCAGTCGTTTGCTCAAATCTTTTACTTTGAAAATCACAACCGGAAGTATGTTTTTGTAGATGTTTTGGTTGAATTTCCGCGGGTGACTGGCCAACCTCGTTGAAACACTTACATTTGGCTTTTACACGAATGTAAGTGATACTTAAATGGTTAAAGTTAGTTACTAGTTGAGGTAGTTGCTCTTCACTTTCATACTGGTAGTCAACTGTCGGTAGGTTGCTGAAACTAACCGGATCCTCGGTGACGGTTGGAGTTTGTTGGTAGGCTAAGCTAACACTACGTCAGTTAGTTAGTTAAAGTCTAACTCGGCGTTAAACTTTTTGGGTCCGTAGTGCAGGAGGAAAAAGGTAAACACAATAATGTCTCTCAGCGCTGTTCACGGGACTTTATCGAGCCTGAAAGTCTGTCAAGCCGACATCGGGACCGGGATGGACATTGTGACGGATGTGGCTATGGACCTGGCTGAAGCTCAGAGTAAACACTTCTGTCACTCTTACTACTTCACTGTCGTGACCACGGTCCATGATCATCTTATGTGAAGTCCAGATTTGAAGAAAATAACTGAAACTAACTTTTGATCATGAGAAAGGGTTGTATGTGTGTGTCCACTCAGGGCTACCACAGAACAGCTGTTATTGCTCTTTGATGCTGTTGTATTACAGATGAAGCGGGGAACCCAGGCATTAAAGAGATGGAGGCCATGATTCTGGAGTGTGCAAAACTGGACAGGGAGATTAACTGCTTTGTGGATGTTGTGCAACAAGTAACAGCAGAGGTAAGAGCTGCCTTTCATTCAAGTCAAAGGCTAAAAGCATCCTTTCTGACTCAATCAGTGTGACGGTCAGCCTTGAGGTGCATTACTGGAATGACGACTGAGATGTACACAATACATTTATGGATGGGTTCAGGCCAATAAGCACTCATAGCTGCTCCTACTTTGCACTGACTTGTTTGCTCATATTTTCCTGAGAGGCAAACTGTAATGCGTGTCAAGTTATTAGTTTAAAATGTCAAGGTAAAAAACAAAGTTGACTGTAACTGTGAAAGTCAATGAAAAAGCCCAACCGACTTACGTTTCTGCAGGTTGCAACACAGCAGCCAGAGGCCATGTTCAGCCTTTCAGACAAAGTGAAGGAGCAGTTCACACAAAGAATCGCTCGGCTCTCCGATGCTGAGCTGCAGAAACACCAGAAGGTAGTCGCCTTCAATGACAGCATCAAGAACTCTGCTGACCAAGGTATGGTTTTCAGTGTCCAGGTGCAGGTCTAATAATCAGAATATTATAAAAAATTTATATTTTTCATCATTTATTTATCAAATAGAAGATGTGATCTAGTATGGACTCATTACATGTAAACTAAAATGTTTTTGAAGTGATTTTCAATTTTGATTTAAAATAATTGTGGCTTGACTAAGTGAACCACTTTTCAAATAGATTAAACACCATGTATATCTCTTAAGCCTCTTCAGGACATGCCACCACAATCATGGGAAAGACTGCTGACTTGATTATGGTCCAGAAAACAATCATTATAACCCTCCAAATGGAGCATAAGCCACAAAGCCTGAAAAAGGAACTTTAACTGTCACATTCCTAATGTCAAGTCAACAGAGACAATATAAGAAGGGTTTTACCTTTGGCAGTTAGAAGAACTGAACTGTTGTTTGGTTGTCTTGACTCTCCTTATCAGATTGAAGTATAATTTGCACAGTCTCCTAGAATCAGGGAGAAGAAAACATAGATACAAAATACAAAGTGTTTAAAGTCCAGTGTGGAGCTTTCACAGTCTTTGATGGTTTGGGGTGCCATGTCATCTGCTGGTGTCAGCTATAGACTGTATATACTATGGACAACTTGGTTCCGCCTACCACCTGTATACGGATTTGAAGCCAAAAAGCTCTCGGTATTTCCAGGATTTTTCTTCATTTCCTGAAACCAGTGCTGCACAGTAGCGTATCCCCCAGGTGAGCTACGCAATCCCTGAACGCCAATAGGCTGTATCAGGTGTCAATCAAAGAAAACACGAACCCCCTAATAACTTTTAAAAACTGAGCTTCACAGGAAAAAAAGGACTTAAGCACAAACCAGTCTTACTGTAACTACTTGTCAACATCGCAATCAGCTCTATAAGCTTTGCTGGCGGAGGCGGGATTTATGACCTATACTGCAGCTCGTCAACAGAGGGTGCTGTTCTTGGAGTGGCTTCACCCAGCAAGGAGGCAGACTCTGTCCATTCTATATACAGTCTATGGTGTCAGCCTACTGTGTTTTATCAAATCCCAAGTCAATGCAGCTGTTCTCTATGAGATTTTCGAGCAGTTCGTGTTTCCATCTGCCCACAAGCTTTATGGAGATGCTGATTTCATTCTACAGGATGAGTTGGCACCTGCCCACAGTGCCAAAACTACCAGTTAATTATTCAGTGACTAGAATATCACTGTACTTGATTTGCCAGCCAACTTGCTTGACCTGAACCTTATAGATAATGTGCGGGGTATGTGTCAAGATGTAAAACACCTGATTCAAAAACGCAGATGAGGTGGAAACCCCCTGTCAAACCAACCGGGGTGTCACTAACAAATCAGCCATGCCAAAGTCTGATATTGTAACCTCCTTTCTTGATCAGAAAATATTGTATTTTAAGATACTGGATGTCTGACTTTCGTGAACTATAAACTAAAACAATAATGATAAAATAAGGTTTTAAATGTGTCAATCTACATCCAATGGACAAAAGTTCATTAAAGCTTATCTTTGTAAATAAGATTATAAAAAATGACTCTTCCACACTTTTCACTTTTCAGCTGCTCCTGTGTATACGGCTGGACTCAAAAACATGTTGTTCTAGTTGACTCTGATAATCGATGTACTTGTTATTCTTTTCAGGACAATTAGCTTACTTTACTTTTAACGCACCACTCCCTTTGTTAACAGCTGAATAATTATGTTTACTTGTTACCCTTTAGCTGTTATTTCTGCTTGTTACGTTGTCTTTACTACATCCTTATTTAAAAAAATGGCCTCGCAGGCAGCGCCATAATCTTGGGTTCACTGTGGAGAATAGAAATGAATCAGCTGCTGCAGATATGTTATCTCCTCTGTCTACTTGGTCCCTTCAGTGCTGAGAAAATATTGAAAGGTACTAGATGAAGTTGTGGATTTAATCCCTATGTGACTAAAATACACATAACCCTGTTGACGAGGTGTTACAGCACTGACAGTACAAGTCTAAATAAACACTCTGAAGAGGGTTTTTTTTAACAGTCTCAGTCCTATTTCATAGCTGTGACTGCTGTGTGAGGACAGCAACAGTTGCAGCTAAAAAAAACATGCAGGGTAAATAGAGGAAGTCCTAGACTGCTTTAGGTTTGTGAGCAGATAACATTTTTGACAATGCTGTAGCCCAACTACAGATGCTGTAGTTGGGCTACAGCATCTGCATGAGTGATATCTTGAAGTAAAATTTTGTAAACATAAAATCTCTCATATGTCCAGAATCATTTTCTTGGCCACACATAAATCTACATTTTTTTAATGTGTAAAGCCTGTTCAGAATTTTTTACCCCAATATGATGGCTGTTTTCACCTGACCTCACGTTTCAGGATGTGATTATCAAATGTGGTTATAAAGAAGTTCTGCTGTGTTTCAGTAATACATCATGAACTCACACTGCAAAAGGTACCAGGCTTATATCTGAGGCAGGCTTGTGTTAGAGGCAGGCCTTTCTGTCAAATTCTCACTCTGAGAAGTAAAATCTTTCATGCCTCAGTAAAAAGTGAGGGTGTAATTCACAGAAAGATGTTTTTTAATTCTATTTGTGTGTACTAGTGTTATTTGCAAAGACTTATGTGAGCCATTGTGCTTTCATTTGGAGCACAATAGACTTCCTTCTTTGCACACACCTCAAAAACCTCCCAATTCACCAACTCAGTTAGAATGAAACTTTGACCATCTGCCCAGAAATATGTGTGAGTGATATCACACTCAAAAATAACAGTTCCTCCTCTGGATGACATGCATGTGCTATATCTGTCATAAAACACAACCAAGTCCATTGATTCTACTTTGTTCTTAGAATTTTCATGATAACCAGGGTTTGAACCAGACCGGAGCTGTCTGTAGCTTCACTCCCCACAAACAGGCCACAGTTTATATGCTGGACAGACTATTTATTAACTCATTTTTCAAATAGGCCCCCTTTTTTGCCAGCTGATTACAAATTGTGACATTTGTCATGTCTGTCATGAATGGACTCTACAATGAAATGATAAGGACTTGCCCTTTCCATCTAGTTTATCTTACACTGTGAGAGGATAGAATAGAGCTCTTTCAGGACAAAAGCTCACTGAGCACAGCCCCGAGCAGCAGAAAGTGGAGATGCTGTCAGTTACAGGTAATCTCAGTCACAGTGGCAGGAATTATTTGTCAATCAGTATGACAGTGATTTGTCAGATTCCCAAGTATATTGGAGTGATCACACAGCAGCTCTACTTGATGTTTTAACTGCATATTAGCTGCCTTAAATAAGAGGTTAGAGGGAAATGGCTGCTATAGTAATTGATCCACTTTGTTCCTGTGGTTGACTTACAGTGGTTTGTTGTGATTTTAGGAAACAAGCAGGCAAGAGAGAACATGGAGGAGCTGGATGAGGACATTGCTGTCACCCAGACCCAAGATAACTTCACCTGCCCACTCACACAGGTAGACCACTTCAACTGCTGATGACTCATTTTACTTTACAGCAGGTCATCCTGTTTCATGTCATGTTATTTGTTACTATAGACATGTTATTATAACCATATAAAACCTAATCTCTCTGACAAATAATCTGTTCAGAGTCATTAGTAGACATTTGGGAGTTTTTTGTATCTCTTTCTATGTTGTTTTTTTTATGCAATGCTCACTGCTGGATTTATTCAGGTGGATATGGTGAACCCGGTGAAGAATAAGAAATGTAACCACCATTATGATGAAGAAGCCATCCAAGTCCTAATCAGGAGAAAACACAGCCAGAAAAAGAAATGCCGGTAAGACAGTCTTCCTTGAGCATTTTTGAGAAGATGAGTCAGGTTTTTCAGCTGTAAACAACTCTGCAGGCTGGCCTGGGACCTGCAGTCAGACTTAATTCACAATTTCTTTCATATACTGCTTTGACGGCAGAGTGAAATTTAATGTGGCTGCTCCCGGAGGAACGCTGATTAAATCCCACTGTCGAGCAAAGATGAAACCTGCCTTTTGTCTGAATCTTGATTGTGGTCACTGTGCACACACCACATGAATAATAATAGCAGCAGAGAGATATCTTATTTCAACAAAATGTCTCATGAATATGAATTTTGATATTGTATTTGTATGTTTGGATGATTTGTAACTTGTGGGGTTTTCACTTTCTGTCTGTATCCTGTAGCTGTCCTGTAGTGGGCTGTGGGAACTCAGATGTGACAACATCAGATTTGGTACCTGACCAGATGCTGAGGAGAAAGATCCAGAGTGCAAAGAGACAGAACAGCCGCACGTAAAACTTTGACTTTTTTAACAGAAAGTTGAGCCTAAAAATGTTCCTTTTGTGAGAACTTGTATGCGAACACATTTGGCAGAATTTGAAGACTGATGTTTTTGCAAGGACTCTGATCGTTTTCTTGTTTGCTGATGGACTTTTTCATTCAGAGGTATATGCCTCAGGGAAACTGTTATCTAGTCTAATAAGGATTTAAAAAGTTATGATTATCCTGTTATTTTCATGAGGCACTTTTTTTTAATGATCTCCAGCCGTGTTGAATGTGCATGAAACTGCAAAACTTTAAATAAATAAAGTTATTTAAAAAATCTTACATCCACATGGTGCAGTATGTTGACAGAGCCACAAGAGAGCAGTATCTGCAGCCTGCAGAGCTGGAATTGAAGAAATTAACTTTTCATCCCAGGATTATAAATTCTAAGCCTCAACTATGCTTTAGGATTATTAGTCAAACTAGGAGTATTAATGACACAACTATAAAACCAGAGAATACACATATTTGCATGTTCTCAACATTTCACTGGTGTTAAAGTCTTTGAGGTACTTTGAGGTATGTAAACTTAAGTTTTAAAACAAGAAAGTTCCCTTTAAGTGTTGACAACTGAAGAATTTAACTAGCAGATTTGTCAACTATTTTTGTGAATGAGCTATTACCAAATCTGTGTTTAACATCAGCAGGAATGCACTTATGTGATTAAATCTCCCCAGTCCTGACCGCGCTCCCCCACTGTGAGGGGCCTTTGTTACAAAGAGAAACAAACAAAGGCTGCGTTCAGATGAAATTAGGTGACGCTAATCTTTTAATAACCTTGCATCAGACTTTCAAAAAATCTCTTATTGGCCTCTCCCTCTGAACAGTGCGTCACGCAGCACTAAGAGCATTTCCTGCTGAAGATATTAAGTGGCAACAAATGATCTAGCTAATGTTGGCTCATTTATTTCTCTCCACTCTGCTTCATTTTAAATTAGCACCGTGCAAATTTAATCTTGTTTACTGCACAACATGTTAAGTCACAGGTAATTTCACAACAGTGGTTCAATTTGTGCAAAGTGCACACAAACAGGCAGCAGCATTGTACTCACCGTACCACAACACCACAACCGTCAAGAGGTGTCTTTGAAAGGAAGAAGAGCTGTAAATATTCTCACAAATTAATCACAACATTCTACAGACACACAGAGCAGAGAATGGAAAAAAAAACTCAATTAATTCCCTGTGGATGTTTGCTTTCTTCTGGTTATGTTTGATCTGGAATTCACATTCATCTGTTCAAAAGCTTTCCAGGAAGAAGGTGTAATGGCTGCCTGAGATGCTGTAAGCCAAGGTATCTGCCTTGTCCAAGGAGGATTTTACCTTTTGGCTGGAAGTGAACACAGTCTTGCTTCCTGGCACTGGAGTCCTGGTCGGGCGGCTGCCAGAGCTGGAGGAGAGGGAAAGGGAGAGGCAGAGATGAGACTGGTGCTCCAGAATTCAGCTTTGATATGGGTGTCATGCCTCTCTACCTTTGCTTATTGGGGCTAAATCCAAACAATTAGACACAATAATTAATTAAGAGGAGAGTGGGGTTTTATTGTGCATTTAGTATACACTTTAATAGTGCTATAGAGAAAACCAAGGTTGCCCATGTGACTTTTTTCACCTTCATAGAATAAAACTTACATTTACACTACAATTAATTTTTTCATGACAGCACATTAACCACAATTTAAGAAATACAGCTCAGATAAGTGAACTTCCTTTGCCACACTGTCATGGCTTTCTGGGACACTTGAATACAAGGAAGCCCTTGTTCGTGTTGTCTGTGGCACCTCTGCTTTTCCTACAAGCCCAAGGGTTTTATAGACATAATCCTGTGTAAAGATGTAATATAGAAAAACCTACATTCATCTTTGAAGTAAACTTTAATCAAAATGTGTGGTCTTGGTTTTGCAGCACATGTTATTGGTGAAATCAGGAAAAGAAGTAAGGATCTGTGCTTGAAAGAAAGTATCAAACCACTGTTGGTCGTATTTATTCTTCAGTGGTATTATTTTCAGGTCTCTGTGATCCAAATCCCTAGATTACACCATGAGTTCCTGCACATACTGTACATGGATGAGGTAAATAACTGAAGGGATTTTATTTTGTAATCTTGTTTTGCTCAGAGTTCATTAATCACAAATTTCTAAACATGGTACTTGAAAAATAGTTATCAGAGCTGTTATTCTAATGTGCTAAAATGTAAGTGCCTTGTTTAAAAGTTGGTGGAGTGACATTACCGACAGAAAATTCACAAATAAACATACAGTTTTGGAAAAGTCCCCAAGACTACAATAACATTCTCCAAAAGTTAAACAATTCACGTCTGTCCTCCCAACTGTGTGTTTCAAACACAGTAAGAGAAAATCATTTGAAAATCTCGAACAATACATAACAGTGAAACACAATAACTCTCAGGTTTGCAGGCATAGATGTTAAGTGCACTGTTGGTGCTTACATACTGTATCTATTCTGCCTGTATTCTTTTATGTCTGTGTTTTTGAAAAACAGACAAACTTCGACAAAAAACTGGCCACTGTAAAAATGATGACAGAAGATATTGTTACTGATTTTGAATCTTAAATCAAACCTTTAAACATGATTAATTTTACAGTTTTAGCCGACAAAGATAAGTTCTCCAAGTCCTCTCAAGGTTTTGTATCTTCATTTATATATATAACATTTTAATAGAACAAACAAATGAAAGAGTTAAGATTTGTGATATTAGATAGAAGATACGTGATTGTCTCAGCCAGTTGTACGTTTTTGATAGATTTTTAATGAATCAATAGGAGTAAATATATTGCTAAACATGGTTAAAATTGCTGTCTATGCTAAGTAATACATTAATATAACACTAGTCTACTATTGTATTGGATTTGATATTCTCTTAATGGGTGATGGTAAATATGAGTCATCATTTTGAAAAGATCCTGAATTTGGCCTTGTTAGGGCTGATGCCAATAGGATGCTAGTTATGTCAAAATGCCATTATTGACTGATCATTGGTCAGATTAATCGGTTGGTTGATTAACTGGTCTGACCCTAAGGAACTTGAGAAACAAACCATTGTTAACATGTGGTTTCTGTCACCTGCTCTTCACTTTGCCTCTTTATTTTCTAAAAAAATAGACATTCATCGTTCAAAAATATGTAAAGAATTTTACATTTGTCTGTTTGAAACTGGTTAAAGCTTTTTCAAAAAAATAATTTATTCCCATTTATGATTATCTTCATCATTATGAGTATTTATTTTTATCTTTAGATGCTGTAACAGCTGAGTTCCCTCATCAAAGATCAATTTGTCATTATCTTATGAATTTATTAAAAATGGAAGGATAAGACACTAAAAATAATTTGACAATAAAACTGGAAATTAACAAGCCTAGTTGGTCGAATTTCCACCATTCATTTGAAACAAAGTGGAGAATTGATATGTAAATGAGTCTTTTTTTAAAAAGGTGTACTGTCGCTTTAAAAGACAACACCTCCCAGCAGCCACAGATCCTGGGTGAGTTTCGCTGCAACAAACACGGTGGTTCATAGTACAGACTGTGTGTAGAGCAGAGCAAACCAACAGCCTGCTGCACAGGAAGGAGCTGCTGCTGCTGACTATATTCCTGTTTATTTCATCGATGTGACGTTCTGGAGGAAGAGTGTCTCCGTGCGTGTGTGTTTGTGAGTGTGACACAGAGAGAGAGGGAGCTGCTGTCTGAGTCAGGGGCCGAGCTGCAGGTGAGTCCTTCTGCTGGTCACATACTTTTTTTACAGACCGGACATTTTACCTGAGGAGGATGATTAACATATGAGTGGCAGTGTGTGTGATATTGTGAGGCACTGCGGTCGTGTCATACGGAATGAGAAATTAGTGGTTCAGTAGGTGAGACTCGCGAAAACTGTGCGCCAACAGGTGCGACGGGTCACACCTGTTGGGAATGTGAACTACGCCGTAGAGTTAGACTTGCAGATAGGCTTTTTATGTGCTCCGGAACTGTTATTGAAGTACTGTGTTTTTGTTTCTCCCGCAGAGGTGTTCATTTGGTGTTTATCTGGAGGATTTATACAGCTGGACATGGATTATTGGTGCCCCTCTTCACCGCTTTGGATTTAGTTGAGACACCTCACCACCCTGCGCCTCTCCCTCCCTCCTCTCTCCTTCCTGAGTGCGCGTAGAACAGGTGGATCCTGTTTCTGTGCTCGGCTTTCTTCACCTCTGTCCACCTTTCACCTTTATGGGGAACCAGGTGGAAAAGCTAACGCATCTAAATTACGCAGAGGTGCCAACGTCGGACCCAAATGGGTTCGACCCGGACGACGACGGACCGCGGATCGGCGTCTCTTACATTTTCTCCAATGACGACGGTGACGATGACCAGGACGACCACATTGACCACTTTTCCTCTGGAAATCACTCAGTAAATAATGAGGAGAAGCCTTTTGACCCCCAGGATGAACTGGAGTGCGCAGTGTACTACCGGGAGGAGTGCGTCTATGAGAGGAACACTGGAGACCCGACTCACTCTGCTGAAAGTCTGCTGAACAACTGCAGACCCGGAGACCTGCTGGAGTTTGTAGCCACTGGACAGTATCCACACTGGGCTGTTTATGTCGGAGATTTCCAGGTGGTTCATTTACACAGGGCGGAGATAAAGAATAACTTCCTCACTGATGTGAGCCAGGGCAAAAAAGGCAGGATAGTGAACGGCCTCTACAGGTACCGCGCGCTCCCGCCGGAGGTGATCGTGCGCAACGCCCTGGACCACGTTGGTTCTCGAGACAGAGAGCTGTACTGGAGAAACTCTGAGTGCTTTGCTGCCTGGTGCCGCTTCGGCAAACGGGAGTTTAAGATCGGAGGTGAGATCAGGATTGGGAAGCAGCCGTACAGGTTAAAATTACTCTTTTCAGAGAAGAAGAGTCACGTCCTGGAGTTTCAGAGCCTAGAGGACGTGATCATGGAAAAGAGGAGGAACGATCAGATTGGGAAAGATGCTGTCATGCAGGAGCTTGCTAACCACTTGAATTCAACACATGAAATCAAAGAGGAGGATTATGTTAAATGTTAATGTCTGCTTAGATCATCTGGAGTTTACAGTTCAATGGAGAAATGCACACTGTGTGTTGCTGCTGAGGGAGCATTCACCCCTCCACTTCACCAACAAGAGCTCTGTGTGTGGGCTCGGCTGCATGTGCCATCATGCAAACTAAATTGCATCTTTTAGAGGGAGTTAAAATGATCATAGAAATCATCTTTCCTCTGCCAAAAAAAGAGGAAAAGCCCTGAGTCTGTGTTGACACTTCTCAAGTGTATTTGCACAGCAGATCACGAGGGTCAGGAAAAAGTTCACGCAAGTTAACTTGAACCAGAAACAAGTGAAAACAGAACATTTCTTCTTCTCTCCTTCTAAGAAAAATGAGATTTCCTCCCTCAAAGCAAAATAAAGTGACTTGTTTTTGTTGGCTACATTTGCATTGGAGCTGCACCTGCAGTCTAATCACTCGGGAATGAAGTCAGAATTTAATTGCCCGTGATTATCTTTCTAATCCAATGAATCTTTGCACACAGGAGCCAAAGCTCTCAAATGTTCCTCTACCTGAAAAGAGAATTCAAAGTGCTTGCTCCTGCACAACTCAGGTGTTGTTGGAGATCAATACAGAGTGATAGAGACAGGACTGCGTGCTTTTATTACTGTGTCAACCTTGAGGATTCCCTTCTGTTGCTTTCTATCCAATCATCATACAGCTTTACCCACTCTGACTATTCTGCACACTGTTCACTGTGCACTTGTATTGATTCAGTTGTCTGAACAGTTTATTTTTTTGAGAAAAAAAGATGTTTGTATGGAGGAATAAGGAAATAAATATATATTTGAACAGGAAAGTATTTTTTTGTCTTTTCAGTGAAGGATTGTCGGTGACCTTTGAAATGATTCATGTGGATTTTGGTGACGTCTCAAACAAACATATAAAGGTATAAGAGGCTCTTTTTTCTCCATCAACCCCATAAAAACTAGTTTGCACTACACAGAGTATTTAAGCAGCTCTATTACTATCACAACCCTGGATGACAGCCTGGAGGAGGCATGTGTTACCTACCTGTTCAGCTCTTAAGATCTCTGCCTTTTGTTTGTAGTTGTGTTGTAAAGAGCGCTGGCTGCCCTACAGTTAAAGCTGTCAGTGTTGCCAGTTTGATCTAAACATTTGCCTCTGAGCAGCAGCTCCCTCAGACTACTTAAACATGAGCTTTGTTGGCGCGTGTTAAGTTGTGCTCTAACCATGCTGGACATTTTGCTTTGTTTACACCTCTGCCGGCTGAAGATAAGTCATTTTTAAAAAGTTTAGCCGCAGGCGTAAAATGTTTTTCGCCCATATTTGGCATTGGATCCTTGGGGAGCTGGAATCACTGTGTTCATTAAATATTGGGCAAAGGTGCAGATTTGTTTGTGTACACCAATAAACAGGCTCTATTTGCAGCCAACCAAATCTCATTCAAATTAGGCTCTTTTAAAGATACAATACCAGAAATAGTGCTGTATAAACTTATGGTGTTGAATGGAGTTGTTTAAAATTGTATGGGAGAGCAAGTCGCAGTACCTCAATGAATAATAAATCTGTTTAAATGGCAATGTTAAGTAATATCAATCAACAAAAACCTGTGAAGCACTTTATAGTACCTGCACACACACACACACAGGCCATGAACGGAAATTGCAACAGCCTCTGAGGCTGTTTTGAACAGTTTTTTTTTCTCCTCTGGGTTTCAGAGGAAGCTGATGACTCCCTCGCAGACAGTCACTCGATGAGTAACTCTGCCTGTTTGTTTTCTTCAGGTTATATTTGCATGGAGATAATGCTGTTTCATTTAGCTGCAGGTAAGGTCCCGGTGGACCCAAAGCGGGATCATCGTCAACACTGGAATTAAATAGGAAAGCTGCCGGACACATTAGCATTTCTTCAATCCTCTGTGGTCTACCACAGTGATGAAATATAAATTTTGTGTGTGTATGTGTGTGTGTTAGCGTGATGCATATTTATGATAATCAGTCACATTTTTTAGCACCCACAGCACAGGGTAAAGCACACCATGTCAAAGCAGCTGCCACTGAATTTGTTACTGCTGGTGTTAACTCATATTTTGCACCTTGGTGACAAAACTCAAATGCAGTTATACTTCACATGACATATTCAATATGGCTTACTCTTAAATTCATGGGTTGTCTGTAGTCCCTCAATGCAGAGGAACTGTGAGCGGAGTTCATATAGTTTTAAGTTTTATTGTTCTGTTGGGCATCTTTACAGTTGAAATTTTAAAACCATCCTAAAACAGATTTTTTTTTTCTTCTAATTTAAAGGTATTCATCAAACTACAGAGCATTATTGCAAGGGCAGGTCCAACAGTGGCCATGACCCCTCATGAAATGACTGTTGCATCCCAAAATCCTAGACTACGATTGGCTACTTGCCTAACACAGACAGGACTTGTCTTAAAAATCAACAGTTTGAGCTTGTGAAACCTGGAAAGACTTTCTTTACATTTAGATTGCACACATTTTCTTTGATTTTTACTTTGAAAATGATTTTGATGAACCTCTTTCATTGTTGTACTTTTTACATTAAAAGCATATTACAGATAAATGTTAGTTCTTTCCTGGTTACTTTACTGTCAGTGGTTTAAGTACATATAAATAAGTGATAGAAAGGATAAATTAAACCATTTATCCTTGTATGCATATCCTGCAAAAGTCAGAGTCCTGGTATGGCAACCCCAGCCAAAAAAGTCCGGACATACCCCTGTGTGCTCTTGAAACATTTCAAAGCCGATTTTTTAATATTTTGAAGTTTCTTTTTTAAATTTTTTTTTTTTTTAATCAGTGCAGCAGTATCAAACTAGGCACATGCATTCTGTTAACAAACCGAGGATCCCCTCACTTAAGTAAAGCTGTCAAACCCAGCCCACACAGTACAGGTTCTGTAGCCAAACTAGATAAGGAATGACCAGTAACAACAAACCAGAAGTGTCAAGAAAAAGATATTGAGTTCTCAACCTGTTTCAGATAAACTGGGGTTCTATTTTATTGTTAAGCTTCTTTGTCAGTGACAACATTTCTTGTTTACATTTTGTGTTATTGAGACTTTGAATGTGCTTCTGTAGAAATATGACATCTTTTATGAACAATAACAACCACTCTCCTCTTCTTTGTCTCGTATTTGTGATGACCACCCACTCAATACAAAGACATATGGCTCAAACTAAATAGTCTGTTTTGTGCCACTGTAAAACACAAGGCGGTGCAAGACGGCAGCCTCATTATTCTGATATAAAAATGTTCTTTGATATCAACAAAAATAAAACTGTTTGTTTTTTAAATGGTTAAACACACCCATAAATATTGTACTGCAATTCTAACTGTCTGTTTTGCTCACCTCTACACACTGTACCTTAACAGCGATATCTATGTAGGAACAACAAAAGCAAACTAGAAAAGACTCGGAGAGCGCAAGCCTCCGCCAAGCAGCTCATGTCCCCCCTTAAACAAGAAATACCCTGACCAGGATTCAAACCCAGCACATTCCGGTTGTGAGGCGACAGTGCTAACCACTACACCACTGTGCCACGTATCTACACCTCTCTGCCACCCATTGGTTATCTTTCAGCATTGAAAATTCCAACGACACCCTTATTTTTGTGTGTTCTTGATCACAGTATCCAGAATTTTGTCCGGATCACCACCAAAATTTAATGGGATCCTCCTGGGGCTGAGACGCACCTCTGGTGAAAATTTCAGGTCAATCCGTCTGTTACTTTCTCCGTAAAGTTGCTAACAGACAGACAAACAAACAAGCCAACGCTACCGAAAACATAACCTCCTTGGCGGAGGTAACAAGACCATGAACAACCAAATCAACAGTTTACCCCATTATCATTGAGAGAAATCAGATGCACTGAAAAAAAGTTACTTTCACTTTTGAATGGAAAAATGGCATTTTTTAAAAATTCAAAGTACTAAAACAATTTCAAGACAAGTTTAACAAAGAGTGAAAAGGTACACGGGGGCACCAAATCAGTGCAAACAAAGAGTCACTTATAGGAGCTTTAAAAATGTTAGTTTATGTTTACATGTGGTAGCATACAGTCTCCCACCTCTCATCCTTCGACTTTGAAAGCTTTCACTATAAAAGCTGTAAACTGGTCTCATAGGTGTTGCAAAAAAAAATGTGAACACTTCCATTAAAAACAAAGCTGTCCATTGCAGTCGTAGTATTACAAACTCCACAGTGTGTTCAGTTATTTTGATGTGACCTGTGGGTGTGATCTGTTTCAAAGCCATCTTCTGCTATCATTCAAAAAGTGTGAAACCAAGGGAAGCTTTTGGTTTGACACATTGTCTCGCTCTTGTCTGCCTTTTGGCCACTCAGTCTGTCGTGTTTCCTTTGGAGGGCTGGAGAAGAGCCCACACCCCTCAGGCTACACTGGCAACATCACAGAGAGTTGGGGACAAGCCAGAGCTCAAATCAACCCACCCTGTGTTTACAAAATGTCATTATGTACCAAAACTTCCTCCCACATGCAAACATGTCTGAACTTTAGAACAGCGTGCTCCTGAGGAGATCGTATCTGACAGGCCTACAGGAAGTGTATTTCTGATGAGGCCCAGAGCCGTTGTGAGATTGTTATCCAAGTGGGACGAGCGGTGTGTAGCAGATGATAGTCTGAGGACATTTGAAAATATCAGGGTATGTGCTCGACTATTCAGAACATGAAACTCACCTCAGGGTTTCTTTTTTGTTGTTCGACTGCCAGTTTTGGGCCACTTTGCTGCTCAAACTGCATCTCAAGAGTGTGAAGGTTTTTGCCAATAGATAGGACTCGTCTTCAACGAGTAAAAATGTATGAATGGCTGTCAGGGGGAATGTGTGCTTGAAAGATAAGATACTAAAAATGATTACTAAGATTACAGCAGACTGTGATAAGAGGTGCCACATTCAGTCTTTCAAATTCTGCCAGCAGTGACTTGAACTCTTTGAAACAGGGGCACTCTGCGGTCACGGTTACTTTTAATTTTAAAAAATATATATTAATTTGCTTCCTCACCCACGAAACCATCTGCAGACAGAAACAAGAGTTCAGGAGGGGGGTGTTTGTTTGTCGAGGTATTTTCACTCACTGTTCCCCTGAATCATGTTTGCAGAGACAGTTTCATTTCCTGGGAATTAGAGGGGAACTAATGTACCTCTGAAATTAACTACACTGCATTCATTAATAGGTATTGATTCACAGTGCTGCAACTCATACAACTTTTTTGTTGTATTTGCTGCTGTAAACTTTTCCTGGAGTACCACCCACCTGCAGTGGGTTAATAATTTACACTGGACTCCCACCAGTTTAGCTTGGACTGGACTTTGTTTACTCTTGGTCTCAGACTGGGGCTGTGTGTGATTCTTGCAAGCTCTGGCGTGGGATGACTGCTTGTTTTTTCAGCCGCACAATGGCAAAGCCCATTCTCTCCCATTCCCATGTAGTTTTCCGGATGCTTTTCTTGTTTTAAAGCAACATTCCCATAGTCTAGTTTACTCTGTTTGTGCTTCAGCTGCATTATTTGGGTTTGTGAGCACTTACACGCAGTCAACCCATGTTCCCTCCCTGCCTTTGTGCTTCTTCTCACTTTCCTTGACAAATGTGGTTTTGAAGGGCTGAGCAGTAAGCTGTGAAGGTAAAGCCGCCGTTAAACGCCAGGAGGAAGAAACTGCTTTGTTCAGAAGTGATCCGTTCAAAGACATCACAACGGTTCAAAGGAAATAACAAGGAAACAAGAATACTGATGTAGCGAGAAAAGCTGGGCAAAGACACAAGACAGCATGTGTAAAGATTGTTAGACAATG